GGCTGGCCCGGCCCGGCCGCAAACCGCGGAATATATACGTCGGGGGGGAGCGCGCGGTAATCCCCGGGCCGGGCGCCGAGTCCACGCGTCGAATCCACGCGGGCTAATCCGGCCGCGCCGACCCGGAGCGCGCTAATCCCCGACTGCGGCGGTGGCAAATCCCGCTCCGCATGGGCGAGCGAGGGCCTGCCGGTCGCGGGAGGGGACCCTTAGGAAGTCGTCGGTCCCGCGTCGGACCTACTGCCCGCGCAGGGCTGGCAGAATGCGGGCAGAAGATGCCTTGGAGAAGAACAGAGGGCTGCCTCCTACTCCCGTGGGGCCTGGCGGTCTTTCCTATTCCGTAGGGGCAGCTGCCAGAGGACGCTCAGTCCCGATCCAGCAGCCTCAGAGCAGCAGCGCCTTCTGGCCCAGCGGCAGATGAAGAGCTGGGGAGGTGAGAAATGGGTGCAGATGTGTGTTGTCCTGAGAGAGAGAGCACATGCCATCCATGGAGTACTTCCTCCTGGTCCAAATGGGCTCTAAGCAGTTCACACTTAGTAACTAAATCCTAAGAGCCTCTTCCAGTAGTGACCGGTGGCCTGCGGCTACTCCCCCTCCCTTTTGGTGTGGTGGCAAAGAGGATGGGCAAATCTGGAGCACTCCTCCAACGCAATCTCCTGGCCCCAAACTCCTGGTGTCAAACTCCACATGGAGGCCAACACTACTAGCAAGTCCGTGATCCCACACAGGACTCTGGCTCCAAACCTCCCACCAGCTTCAAAGATTTGGCTCAGCCTCCTGGAAGAAATGAAGGAAGAAATGAGCAAAGGGAGCTTCCTTTGCTCATCACCAAGCCCTGTACTCTGCTCCTGGTCTAGGAAAACTTTTAGGATCCCAGCAAATTCTCACCAAGTAGTCACCAAGAGCACCTCCTCCTGCCCCTCCCCCCATCTCCTAGGAACATTAAACACCTCCTCAGCCTTGCCTTTTTTTTTTTTAAAGATTTATTTATTTGTGCATACAGAACTGGGGTACAGGCCAGAGGCTCAGGGGCGGTGAGAGGCTTCACCAGAGACAGAGTGGGGAGCAGAACAGGCAGATCGACAAAGTACACTGCTGAGGGGAGCAGCGGGCGGGTCAGGAGAGGTCTGCCACGCCATGTGGTCACCTCCGGGGCAGGCAGGAATCGAACTCATGTGGAAGCGGCTTTAGATTCTCAGTGCTGTGCTTTAACCTGCTGTGCCACCAGGGAGGGCCAGCCTTGCCTTTTAAGAGCGAACTTAGAGGGCTCTCTTCTTCATTCGGTCCTGGCCAATCACACTGTCTGCACTGTCTTTCAGGGTTATTCTGCTCAACACTGCAGGTAACCTGCACTTTGCCACTTTCCAGGAAGTTATTTCATCCTCCTTTACACAGCATTGGATGGCTGGCCAGGACTTCTGCTCAAGACCCTCTTTGTGGATTTCTGAAAAGATAGTGTCACTCACAGCACAGAACACGACTACCTGGGATATACCCCTGATCTTTATTCTGGCCTGTAGAATCTTCTATAAGTTCCTGCACCCCTCTGTGCATCATTTCCCAAGCTATAAATGGCATAACATCCACCTAACTCATGAGAGGATCATAGGACTTAGTTACTAAGTGTGAACTGCTTAGAGCCCATTTGGACCAGGAGGAAGTACTCCACGGATGGCATGTGCTCTCTCTCACAGGACAACAAACATCTGCAACCCACTTCTCACCTCACTAGCTCTTCAGGTTTCTTTGTTTACTCCACTCTGGTATTGGACACTTTGTAGTTCAGCCACAGAACTTGCTGACTCAATGTTAGTCATAAGAGTCCCCAAGATTGGGCATCAGGACTTGTTAATCTGAAGTCCCAGCCTGCCGTGTGGTGGCAGGATGGCTGCCATTGCCCCAGATATCCCATCTCTTCCCATGTGTCTCTTTGAAATGGCCATGAAAACCTCTCCAGGCAACTTCCCTCACCTTACAGAACCACATGCTTACCATGAAGTTTGACTATCCATCAAAACCCGAGTTTCACTTGGGGTGGGAGGGCGCACGTGGCATTGGGTTAGTGGTCAGGAAGGCTGTGTCCACCTCTCCCAACCCTGGTCCTTCCTTCATCCTTCCCCATTCCCACCCTTGATGACCTCCTCCAGCTTTGAGACTTCAGACACCATCTCTTTGACAAACCAGATTTCTGACCTCACCTCTATGCTCCAGGCTGTTATCACCTGATTTCCCTCTGTGTTTCCATTTCCACCACCAGTAAGCAGCTCCCAGCCACCATGCCCAGAAAAATCTCAAAATCTGTCCCTTGCCCCTTGATAAATGGGTCACAAAACCAAGTATCCATATTGGTAAATATCAATACATCATCTTGCCTCTACCCATCTCTGCACATCTTGCCTCTACCCAATCTTGTCAGCAGTCCACATTGAAAAGTGGCTCACAGAGGGGCTTACAAGCATGTCAGCAAATTATTTGACATTCTCTCTTTGACATTCTCTTTAAGAGGTGGAGTGTAGCCCCTTCTCCTTGAACATGGACTGGCTTAATGACTCATAGAACATAGCAGAAATGTTAAGTAACAAGCCCCACTCCTTCTCCCTCTCTTATCCTGGAATGCTTGCTCTTCACACCCAATCACCACATTGTGAGTCTCCAGCAGCCGCAGGAGAGGACATGCAGAAGTGTTGTGGCCAGCCAGCTACCTCTTGTGGGTGAAGAAGTCTTCCAGTGATTTCTGCCCCTGCTGCCATCAGTTGCACCAGCATGATCCAAAAGAGAATAGTGGGCAGTTGCAGTAATAGATAACAGTGGGTCTTTTTGTCACCCTGAATTTGCAGTGACTTACAGGTTTTTGTACTGGAATGCAATTTCCACTGATATAAATCCTAAAGCATGTAACCTGGGCTTTGGGACTTGGCAGTGGATGAGAGCTGGCGGGGCCCTGCTGAGACTAATAATGAGGATGTGGAGGAAAGTGTTATTGAGAGCTAAAGGAAGGGAGACTCTTATTATAGAATGGTCATTGTCACCTGTCAGACAGAAAAGGAAATGGGAAATAGGAAATGCAGCTCAAGAGTGAGATTATCTAGTTAAGGAAGTGCCTAGACGGGATGTGGAAGGAGCTACCTGACTTCTTCTGGCCCCCTGAAAGCAGAGAGGAAAGAACTGAGATCGGGAGGGTGTTGTTAAATAAAAATAAATCAGTTTTCAAAGTTAAATATATATCCGCTACATGAACCAGCAAGATTCATTCCTGGGACAGAATGAACAGAGCATTTCATTCACCTGTTCACACAAAATGCTGTCTGGGAATGCTTAGCCTCGTTTACAGTGACACACCTCATGAGGTACCCATAGGACATCGCGTGGGATCCTGCTCCTAGGATCCAGGTCTGGCACACCTGCTGGCTTAGTGACTCCTTTGCTTGCTGGCCTGAGGAACCTAGAGCTACTGGACAAATGTAATATTTTATGGTTTGTTTTTTTTTTATCTCTTACTATGTCCCTGCTGAAAACTCCTCCTCTCCTGTCTGAGATCTAGAACCTAAAGTTCTGAGAATGGGAACACAAATTCCTCTGCATTCCTTGTCTCAAACATCTGCTGTTGGTCTGTCTGAACCAACCAGCTTAACTTTGCTCGGCCTTGTCTCCTTTTGCGCTTCTCACTCATTATTGCGTCCATGACATGGTACTCCTGTGCTCTTTGGAAACCCTGCGCTCCTGTGACTATTTCTTAAGTGCTCCACATCTCAGGGTCAGTGAGCAAGGCCACTTGGGGCTGCCTGTCACTCAGTTGTGTGATTTATTTGCTTAATTTGCTCAGAGCTGATCCCGGCAAGACCACTGTCATTGTGAACCTTAACGTTTGGTGACTCTGACAGCACCCAGCTTTGATGAGCCATTTTGGCCACATGGTCACTTGATGGTCCAAGGTCAGATGCTGAGTTCCTGCCAGAGCACAGTGACCTGCCCGGAACTCTGTGAGTATGCAGTATGGCCTTATTCCAGAATCCCAGGAGTTTGCACTGTGACAACATGCAACAGGTCCCTTTGGAAACTGTCTGATGCTCCTCATGAAATCTTTCTTGCCATGGTATTTGTCACGGGCTCTGCCAGGTCCTAGTGACAGACACAGGGCTGCTCCTGCCAGCAGTACCACTTGCTACAGATGCCTGCACATACTGTGCAGCTCCCAACAGTGGCTCATGGTCTGTATTCCTAAGTGCAGAGCATGCTGCCTTCACATTCCAAGGGCCTTCCCTGCTGTGTGTGCTTTCTTAGAGATAGAGGTGCAAAGCAAAATTATTGACCCTTTACTTTGCAATGCCCATCATAAGATCACTGGACTCCCAGAAATATGATTCAACTATCTTTTCACTATTGGGTTTGTAAGTTATTTATATATTCAAGATACAATTCATTATCAGATCTGTAATTTCCAAATACCTTTTCCCATTCTTTGTGTTGTTTTCACTTCTTTAATGCTGTCCTTTGAGATTCAAAATTTTAAATTGTTGATTAAGTCCAATTTGTTTATTTTTTTCTTTGTTTGCTTTCAGTGTCACACCTAAGAAAGCATTGCCAAATCTGAGGTCATGAAGATTCCCTCCTGTGTTTCAGTTTTATAAATCTTAAGTTTTCTAGTTTTAGCTCATCTATTGATAAATTTGTTTTAGATTTGCTTCCCATTTATTTATGCATATAAGAGCTGGGGTGTATGCCAGAGGTAAAGGAGGGGGTGGTGGTGAGAGGATTCACCAGAGACAGATTGGGGAGCAGAACAGGTGGATTAATTAAAATACACTGCTAGGGGGAGCAGCAGGTGAGACAGGAGAGGTCTGCTGCGCCAAGTGAGCAAGCTCGCTGGCAGGCGGTTGCTTCATAGTGTCAGCACTTAGTAACTTAGTAACTTGCATCACCAGGGAGGCCCTATATTCATCAATTTTCAGGTAACTTTTGTATATGGTGTGAGGAAAGAATCCTAGTTCATTGTTTTATATGTGGATATCCAATTGTTCCTATACTGTATGTTAAAAAGAGTATTCTTTCCCAAAATTGTTTTTGCACCGTTCTTGAAAATCAAATGACCCTAACTATAAAGGCTTATTCTTAGATTTTGAATTCTGCTCCATTGATCTGTTTGTCTCCTGATGGCAACACCGCAAATCAGGAAGTGGGAAAGCTCTAACTTTGTTCTTTATCAATGCTGGCTGGGCTATCCTGGTTACCTTGAATCTCCATGTGAATTTTAGGAGCAGCTTATCCATTTCTGCAAAAAGCTGGAATTTTGATAAGCACTGCATTGAATGTGGAGATCAATTTGGGTAGATTGCCATCTTAACAACATTCACTCTTCTAATCCATGAGTATGGAATGAATTCCTTCCATTACACCTTTAGTTTCTTTCAATGTTCTATAGCTTTTAATGTGAAAGCTTTTCACTTTAGTTGAATTTTTTTATGTTAAATGTTCTTTTTTGATGCTATTGTAAGTGAAATGGTTAATTTCAATTTTGTATTGTTCACTGCAAGTGTACTTTGCTTTTGTATCTTGCAGCCTGTTTGGGCTTGTTTATTAATTCTAATAGTCTCAGTGGATTCTATAGGATTTTCTGTGTACAAGAGATGTCATTTCTGAACAGAGATCTTCACATTTTCCTTTACAATATTGATGCTTTCTCTTTCTTTTTCATCTCCCTGGTTAGAACAGAAGTGGTGAAAGTGGGCATTGTCATGCTCCTGATCTTCAAAGCAAAGGAGTTGACTTTATGATTGAGTATGATGCTAGCTGTGGATATTTCATAGATGCTCTCTATCAGGTTGGGGATGTTCCTTTCAAGTATGAATTGTCATGAGGGAGTGTTGTATGATCCATCCAGTTTTTTTTTTTTCCAGGGATTTGCTCTGTTATCAAGCTATTGCCAGCCACTGCAGTCTGAGTTTGATCCCTGGCCAGGGAGCTGACCCACATGGTGCAACAGGCCTCTCCTGTCTGGCCCACTGCTCCCCTCAGCAGTATATTTCAGCGGATCTGCCTGTTCTGCTCCCCACTCTGTCTCTGGTGAGTCTTCTCACCCTCTTCACCTCTGGCCTGTACCCCAGTTCTGATATGGGTAAATAAATACAAACAAATCTTTAAGAGAAAAAAATTGGAATTTGCTCGAGTCTACCATCCGACATCCTGTAAGTCTGTAACAATGATGATCACCAGTTCTCCTAGAAGGCAGCATTGTTTTTAATCTTTATACCGGACAGCTTGAGACTCTAATGGGCTAGAACACTAAAGATAAAACAGTGTCATTTACATTATCACTTAGGGTTTTCTCTAAGATCAGAAATCACTGTGGATGTTCTGTCAAACACTAAATTTTCTATTCCAATTGCATGCTTAGATACTGGATAAGAAACCAAAGAGTGAGTTAGGCACCTGGTGGAGCCATTGTGAAATGGAATTGAGTTAACATTCCACCTAAGGCTCAACAGGGAATCTCTGATGCCACTTTAAGTCCCAGATATCAGTGTTAACATGGAGCTTACATCCAAATAATCTTTCTTCTGTACATAATTACCTGAATAAATGTCAATAGCAGGGTTTTTTTTTTCTTTCAGAAAAGGATTTATACAGAACTCCAAAAGAGTTAAAATATCACTATAAATGCTTTCTATGGTATTACCAGATCCCTCCTCATGGGAAGAGATTTCAGGAGATAAGGTCTGGGCCTGCAAACTGGGTAGAAATTGAGCAAGGGATTGTGGATTGTTGTGTTCATTGGGTTGGGTTATCTTTATCTTTTGTTTTCTATATTTAAAAATTTTAATGTGGTAAAATATACATATCATAGAAACAACATTTTAACCATTTCAAGAATACAACTCAATGACATTAAGTGCATTCACAGTGTTGTATAACCAACATCACTTATTCTATCCAAAACTTTTGCATCATTTCAAAGAGCAACTTTCTACTTCCTATTTCCTCTTACCCATCACCCCTGAGTAATGACTGAATTCCATTGTATGTTCACACCATGCTGTTTAATCCATTCATCTGTTGGTGGACATTTGGTTGTTTCTATTTTTTGACTGTTGTGATACTGCTACTGTGAATATGGATGTGGAAATGACTTCCTATTTTCAATTCTTTGAGATACAGACCACGGAGAGGAATTGCTGGATTAGGTGGTAATTTCAGGTTTAGCTCTTGAGGAACTCATTTTCCATAATGGCAACATCATGTTACATTCCCACCAGCAATGCACAAAGGTTTCAGTTTTTCTACTTCTTCATCAACATTTGGGATTTTCTGTTTTTTTTTTTTTTAATTTATAGTCACTCTAGTGGATATGAAATGGGCAGATAATGGTTTTGAACTGCATTTCTTACATCTTTTCATGTGATTTTTGGTATTTGCATTCTTCTTTGGAGAAATGTCTATTCAAGGCCTTTGTTTATTTTTAAATTGGGTGGTTTGATTAGTGTTGTTGAGTTAATTTGTTATTTTTTCCAACATTTCATTATGAAATATTTCAGGGGGAGAAAAAAGAATTTTCAACCACTCAGAAAATTTGAAGATTGTGCTGTGACCATCTATGACAGTTTGCTTTATGACATATGTACACATATACCATCAGTCCAATTTATTTAAAATATGTGTTCTAAAGTAAAGACATCAGTGCACCTTATATCTAAGTTCTTCAGCATACATATCATTAACTAGAATTCAATACGTGTTTGCAGTTTTTTAGGTAAAATTTACATGCAGAGAGTTATAAACAACTACTGTGTGTTTCACCATCAAATCTTATCATCTTGGTCTTTCCTTCTTGCCTATGTAGGAAACCAGTAGAGTGACACTGGCTGCTTTGACAGCCTTAAAGTGACTGCTGGACTGTCACTTTGCAACCAAATCTGGCAGCCAGAACTTCATCATTTTCCTCCAAAGAATTCAAACAACCGGCCCTCCTTGGTGGCACAGAGGGTTAAAGCACAGCACTAAGAAGCTAAAGCCACTTCAGCATGAGTTCGATCCCCGCCCCAAAGATGATGCACATGGTGTGGCAGACCTCTCCTGACCTGCCCGCTGCTCCCCTCAGCAGTGTACTTCGTCAGTCAACCTGTTTTGCTCCCCGCTCTGTCTCTGGTGAAGCCTCTTACCGCCCCTGCACCTCTGGCCTGTACCCCAGTTCTGTATGTACAAATAAAGAAATTTTTAAAAATTCAAGCAACCATGGGGTACAAAGACTGATTTTTTGGCCATTTTTGACCAGTTGGATTCTGACACACTTGCAAGTGGCAGGATTTGCCTGTTCGGCTTCAACTCTTGCTCTCTCCAGCACAGTTCCCTTGACTGGGGAGTGCGACCA